AACCCTCATTCTCCTCTCTCTCTAAGTTCCTCACTCTACCCATCCCCCTCCCCACCCAAAAACCTTGGAAGTAGTTGTTTTGTTGGTTGCGACTAAGTCCGATCTGCCTTCAAAAAATATTTTCTTTGGGTTTCACTAAAAAACCGTCGAATCTCTGTTCGGATTATGAAAAAATGGCCGATTTTATCCAAGAAGAGGGTATTTACTATGATGATTATCAAGCGGTGCGTAGTCATTTTACTCAATTTTTGTTGTTGTTATAATGGTTTATTTAATTTATATACTAATTGATTTATGTTGTTGTTATGCTATCGTAGGTTGGGCCGGATGTTGATATATACCATCAACGATATTATGTTGATCAAGGACCGGTTGATCAGACTATTTTATACGATCAAGACAATCATTGTTCAAGAGATGTTTGGAACGACCACAAGGTACATATTATTTATCATCACTTGTAATTTTTATTTTTTTAACGTAATTTATTTGTTTGTACAATAAATTACTTAATTGTTAATGGTATTGATTATTTTCAATAATTTAAATCAATACAATACAAAACTTATTTAGACTCTTTATAAAAAAATGCATGTCCAAGGAAATGGGGTCTTAAGCGATCATCATGATCCTCCCATGACCTGGGAAAATTGGGTTCTAAGCGATCCACGGATCCCCCCTTTTTCTTTCAAAAAGACTGTTTCTAAGAAGATGTATATCTCTCCTAAGAGTCTTACGAGTGTACTTGTATTGCTTTAAATTATTGAAAACAATCAATACGAAGTACAAAATAATATATTTGATTTTATGTGTATTTGTACAAAAAAATAATTGTACTTAAATTTCGAAAAGGATTTTAGTTATGTTAAAATTAATGTTTATTTTTCTAAAACAACCTTGATTTAATTAATATTGTTTGTTATAATAGATTTATATATGTATAAATCATCCACTTATAGTGAAAGTTAAATTCTTCTCTATGATGCATACCATATAGGTCCGCTATAGGGGTACGACGAATGTGCTTGAATGGAACGACGTCATCTTGCCCTTTCTAAAAAGAGCAAGATTGGATTCGATTAGGCACTTTAATGGAATAAAGATCAAGCGCCAACTCATCACAGCATTGGTAGAGAGATGGCGCAAAGGAGACACATTGCTTCAATTTTCGTGAAGGCGAGTGCACCATCACACTTAAGGACATCGCCATCCAAACCGATTTTCCCATTGATGGCAAGGTCATGTTGATCAAGCCACTGCGCACCTTCAGGGCAGAGCTGACGGATATTCTGTATCTTCTCTTTAAATTTCTTCTCTTGGTAAGCGACAGCTGATGAATATACAAACAAAAGCATAAGGTAAGCAAGGCTTCCGTTATGAGCAATACAAGTACACTCGTAAGACTTTTTGGAAAGGTATACATCTCCTTAGAAACACAACCTGTTTGACAGAAAAAGGGGGGATCCGAGGATCGCTTAGAACCCGATTTTCCCAAGAAACGGGAGGATCATGATGATCGCTTAAAACCCCATTTCCTTAGGCATGCATTACTTTATAAAGAGTCTAAATAAGTGTTGTATTGTATTGATTTAGTCCTCGCTTTTCCAGTTAACAAAAGATATAAAACAATTAAATAGAACGCTTACCGATCCATCATAGACTATCAACAAGCTTCTTTCACTTGAAATGATGGTTCCAGTTGCTCTTGAAATGTCGTATGCACCATCTCTGTGACCAGTCCCAGGCTGGATCCAAGCCTAAGATAGCAGCCCATATACCGGCATGGTGATCAGAGATGATGGTTAGGTTCGTCCGCCTGGTGACATGGAGTTGAATTTGTCTGAAGAACCATCCATAGCTATCGGTATTCTCTCCCTCCATAATGGCAAAGGCTAATGGATATACTGCTCTATTTGCATCTGCTCCGCTGGCGATCAGTCGAGTACCCTTGTACTTGCCGGTAAGGAATGTTCCATCAACTTGAATCACAGGAACACAGAATGGAAAACCATCAATACATGGCTTGAATGACCAGAAAAGACGCTTGAAATGGCGCTTGTTACCAGGCACCAGCGGCTGAATTTCTTCATCTTGGTAGCGAGGAGAGAAAATGGTGCCAAGGTTAGACACCTCCAACGGCAAAATCAATCTGGGAAGGAATGCATATGATTCTTCCCAGTCACCAAACACGGCGGCTAGTGCTTTCTGTTTTCTATGCCACGCCTTCTTGTAGTTAATGATATAACCATAACGACTAGAAATGTCGGCGATGATGATTTTCACCTTCAAGTCGGGCTGCTCCTCAATTAGATGTTTGATAGCCGCGACAACCACCCTTGATTTCAACTGTCGATGGCCTTGGGATGTTATTGATGACATACATGTGTGTGTGTTCACCGCACGTGATATGACCCAATGCCCACTCTCTTGCTCTTGATGGCCCAGACCCTAGCTTTGCATTCGTCATTTTGATTTTTGCCACTAACTGGACTTGGATTGACCTCTTCTTCCATCTGATGATCATCATGAAAGGCATCTTCACCTTCACCGACTCCGTAATGGTAGTTGTGGTAACTAACGCCACTTTGGTAGAAGTTGTAGTCAAGTGGGTACTGGTAGCCTGCTTGTTGGTTCTCATCCGCCTGTTGAGCTTCTTCTTCATATGATGGGAAGGATTGATGATGACCTCCAGTTCCATCATGATACTCCTGCCTCCAGCTCGAGTCTCGGTACTCCTGGTGGGGATGATCTTCGTATAATACACTCCCACCATGGATACTAGATGTTTGGCCATCTCCAGAATGACCTACACCGCCTTCGACGACCTCGGTGTAAACGAACATCTCCGCTTGTTTAATTTTATTGGTGGTCAAAAATTGGACCATGGCATCAACGTCCTCCTGAGTGGTAAGGAGGAATTCCTCATTCCACAGCGAACCGCAATGTCTGTTTGGATATCGATACACCATACGATCAACTCTTCTAGTGCCACCCATGCAGGTAATCTGAGTGCACATTTGATGGAGCTCTTCAAGCATCGGTCTCGTACGAACCTTTATTTTATAAAAATTTCCACCCACGTAACTTACACCTTTTTCGGTCTCTTCTGTGTAACCATTCCACCGCAATCCAAGCGTGAACCTTCAGAATGCCATCTGCAATAAAACTGTAATTAAGTTACTAACATAAAAATCACAAAGGACAATGAAAAGTAATACAAAACAAACTTACGAATTAACGTTAATCACAAAAACTAAATAATTTAAAGGCGCACAATTGAAATTTGAAGAAGAAGGAGGAGTGGAGTGGAGATTTTGAGTTTTCTGGACCAGCCTTTTATAGGCAAATTTTACACTACAAACCGCATGGGGGGGGGGGAGCGGTTTTAGTCTGGCATGCAGCCCCCACCCCTACAACCTCCTGCATGCTGACATGTTGGATGTCGGGTGACCAAGTACAAACCGCTGGTGGGGGCAGCGGTTTATGTGTCGACATGGTAAACCGCTTCTCTGTGGATCTTTTTACCATGCCGACATATAACCGCTCCCTGAGGAAGCGTTTTGTCGTAGGGCAGCCATAAAAATCGCTCTTTCAAAGAGTGATTTTACCTAAAAAGGCAAACCGCGTGTTGACCAGGCGGTTCTAAGGTAAACCGCGGCCTGGTTGTGCGGTTTCTATATTAACCGCCCCTAATAGGTGAGGTTTTTAATAAACGGTGGTATTTTTGGAAATTCTTGGGAATTGGTGGTATTTTTGTAAATGTTTTTTTAAAACAGTGGTAGTTTTGGATTTTTTCCCAAGTCGATTGAGGAAAACTAGTCTCCCTAGTCCATCCCTCATACAGAACACTCTCAAAATCCTCGTGCCCGAGCCACACCGCCAGTAAGCTAAAAGGCCTCGGACCTGGTATGGAGTCTCTTCCACCCTTCCTCGTCAGTACGATCGGCATGTGATTCGAGTCGACCCACGACTGTCTGCGGATGCCGGGTGAGCCACAACTCATTGCAAAGTGCTTGATCAAGGCACTGCTAAAGAATCCGTCGCAACTAAGTGAACTTGGGTCCCGTAAACTCTACATCTATCAGTCCGCTTGCATCCACGCAATTCCGGAAAGGCCGACATCGTGCAGCCTGGTAGGTCGCCCCACCTGTAACATCCCGGACCTTTTCTCGACGTAGATACTATCCGCTTTGGGCCTCGACCCTCACGGTTTTTGACTTGGGGTACAATTCAAGGTAACTTCACATAAGGTCACCCATCTTTTTTGTACTCCACACTGAGCACGTTTAACTTCGAAGTTCTTGTGAGAACTGCTCCATTGACCACAAAACACGTCTTGTCAGTTAAGGCCGGTTTCTTACTTATGAAACATGGATCTCTCCCGTACTTTATCGATTTGGGATTTGCCTAAAGTGTTACATACACCCCCTGGGACTCAACGCCCTCGTTGTGATTTTCCCCACCTTCGTTTAAGAGGGATGCGTTGAGGCTCTGATACCACTTGTAACATCTCGAACCTTTTCCCAACGAAGATAGTGTCTGCTTTGGGCCTCCACCCTCACGGTTTTTGACTTGGGGTGCAATATAAGGTGACTTCCCATAAGTCCACCCATCTTTGTTGTACTCCACACTGAGCAGGGTTAACTTCGGAGTTCTCACAAGTACTCCTCAATTCACCCCAAAACGCGTCTTGTCAGTTAAGGCCGGTTTTTACTTATGAACCATGGACCTCTCCCATGCTTTGTTGATGTGGGATTCGCCTAAAGTGTTACACCACCACATCTGTCTAGGGGGTCCGAAGATGGAATTGAAATCTCCCACCAAAGTCCATGCGACTACGCAGCTCTGTGACAGGTGATAGATTTCATCCCAGAGATCTTTCCGGTTAGCCGCGTTGGGGCTCCCATATACAACTGTTATAGCCACCACTGCATTCGGCGTTGATCTCTCAGAGCATGTGACATGTACCATCTACTCTTAGGATGTTACTTCCTCCACAATTAACTCCTGCCGACTCCAAAGTACCCAAATGCAACCTGAAAAACCAATAGCATCCCTGATAAGACACCCCATCATAGCCCGTATGTCGAACCACTGTGCGAGCTGTCTCCCCACAGATTCACAGTTCAACAATAATGACAATGTCTGGCTTTGTGGACTCACTGAAAGCACGCAGATACATTAGGAAACTCTCATCTCCTGCCCGCTGACAGTACCAAGCTAAAAATTTAACATTGTAAAGATAAACAAAATAAACCGCACCCAAACAACAAAGCGCTCAAAAGAGACAAAAGGAACTTCCCTGACTGCAACGTCAGGGAAAGGCTATTGAATCAAGCTAGCAGGGAGCTTATCTCCCCTTGATAACAACACAAGTTATCGCAAGTCTGACCGGATGGCTTGCACTGTTCCCTGCCTCAACTCCTTTTTTAACTCCTTTAGGTTGGGTGGTGGCCAGGGGCGGAGATAGCTTATAGTTAGGGTGTTCCATGGCACACCCTTGGATTAGAACTAGGACATAAAAAAATAGGGTATTAGTTTATGCTATAACTAGGATTTGAACATGAAACCCCCTTATTATTAGTTTTGGCGTCTTCAATTAAACCACAATTACTTACATGATACACCAATACGTTTTATTGCATGTATATAATTAATTTACCGTTTACAAATAATAAATAAATCAAATTAAAAAATACATAATTGTATCCTTATTCAAGCAATAATCGGAACTTCAGCCCTAACAAGCAAGACTTCTCCCAGACCCAGTCCCACCCTTCATCTGGGATTTCTATCTATGTATCTTCTTTTGAAGTTAGCATTGCTTCTACCAGTCGCCTTTGCAAGTGTTGAAATAGTATTTTCGGCAATGAACTACGTGAAGAACACTCTTCGGAGTCGAATGAGTGATGATCTCATGAATGATTTTTTGGTAGGATACATTGAGAGTGACATTGTTGATAGTCTAAATGATGAAAGTATTTTAAAGACTTTTCAAAATATGAAAACTCGTCGTGGGTCACTATAAAAACTTGATAGTCATTTTAATTTTTTAAATTGGCACCCCTTACCCAAAATCCTGGCTACGCTACTGGTGGTGGCATCGCTTCCCGGCTTCCCAGTCGTCTTGCCTTTCTTCCCTAGGTCCTTGGCCTGCATTATTCTCGCACTCTTGATTTTAGCTTCAAGACCTCCTTTTCCGTCAGCTTATATTATCGGGACATCGACCAGCTCTTGTCGAGCGCTACTAGTTCCTTGTGGCTTTGTCATACTCATGTGTTGCTGATAGCCAGGGAAGGGGTGGTCGCCCCACTAGCATCCTTCGAGCTCCTACCAGCTTAGTCTCCATTCGGGCAACAGGTGGTACACTTTTATCCACGTTGCCAGCGTGTCGGGCCGCTGGCGTCAAGTTCCGCTTTGTAGCTTCCCGGGCATTTTGACTTTCGTTGGCCAAATTATCCTCGCTAGTAGTGACATCTGCCTCCATAACGACGAGAGATTCCTCCTGCTATAGCACCGAGAAACAAGACCCATCAACTTTGGAGTTATGCCCATCAACTATTGTTGCGGCTTGTGCCCCTTGAGTCTTTTGACCTTCTTTCCTCTCATTCTTGGATTTCACCATCATCCATTCGCCGTATAAAGCCTTTTTTCCTTGGGTCTCGGTAGGTACGGTCGCCTGAGGTGGCGGTGTTGGGTCTCTTCCCGGAGAAGCGGGCATGATTTAACCGAATGCCCATACTTTCCGCACTCTGTGCATATGTTATGCAATCCTTTGAACATGATGTAATAGGTTTTACCTTCAGTTTTGTACTGAGAGAGAAGCGGCTTGATGAGATCGATCTCACACACACACTCCCAAAATTTACCCTATCACCTGTCATAGTCGTTCTATCCACCTTCACCGGCTTCCCAATCTGTGAGGCAATGCGTTCGACTGCCTCGCGGTTCACAAATTCCATGGGTAGCTCTGGGAGCCTCGCCCAAACTAATGTTAAAGCAACCTCAACACTTTGCGGGTTAAAATTCTTTCTCCAGGGGTGCACAGTAAAGTAGTATTCGCCGATCAGCCATAGTCCTCCTAGCCTTATTGTTCAAAGTCCATCTGATGGGTGAATCTCACCACGTAGTACCCGTAAGAGAGACTGAAATCTGAAGATATCCATCATTTGCCCATAATGTTTCCAGCCTCCTAGAGATCACAGGGAAGGAAAAAGTACGTCCCAGTACCTTGACAATGAGCGCGGAACGCCATTAACGACAATATATCTGCTTCTCCATAGACGTGAATGGAATAGTGGGGCACCGGGGATCATCGTCCTCCGGCACCTTATTGTCAAGGTTGTCTTCTTTCATGGATGCAAAAACATCTTCAAAGTCTGATTCCGCGATATACCATGCCTCTTCCCAGATAACGTTAGAGAAGAACTTCTTTGCACCTGCCCCCGTTCCATTCAAAATTCCGTTAAATAGGTATAGTCAGCATACCATGTCAATAAATAAATGAATAAAAAATAAAAAAACCAAGCATCTAAACCTAACCAAACCAAAATCAAACCCATCTGGTCACTATTCCCCATATACGAATAGAATTATAGAACCCCAATCAGATAACAAATTCAAAATCTATTTCCCCTCTTCTTTAAACCTAATCAGCGGCTGCAGCTCCTCGACATGGAATAATCTGTCGAATCGTCGCATTGCATACCCTTGTGGCGCAATCGAGTGGGACGACAGCTTCTCTACGACTTTACCTTCGAACAAGGAGTTCACACCCCGAACACAATGACGAGTACTAGTGGGAGGACGACTCCCGATTTGAACTTGAAGAGGGATAGGTCGCAGCTTGAATTTTTGAGCGAGATCTTCACGCGATTGATCTTATTTGTTGGTTTTCATTAGGGGTGGCAGAACGGTTTTCGGTTAGCAGTAAACCGGTCGGTTTCAACCGAACCGACCGGTTTTCGGCTAACCGAAAAATCGTATAATGTGGCAACGGTCGGTTGGCGGAGGAGATGGGAAGGGGTTCGGCTAGCCGACTAACCGGGGTCGGAAACCGGCGGTTAACCGGCTAACCGGCCCTCTTCCCTTTCCGCAAAATGAGCCGTTTTATCCGCCCCCTAACCCTACGACTTAGACCTCGCTCCCCCCCCCCCAACTCCTTCGACCTCGCTGACTTCCCCCTTCCTCCTTTTCGCGCAGCGGGGCAGTCGACGCAGAGAAAACCCCCTCCGGCCTGCCACCTCCACCTCGTCTCGCCCCGCCGCCTTTACCTCGCCGCCCCGCCGCCTCCCTCTCACCTCCCCTCCACTAGCCACAAGACCACCCTCGTCGACCCTCCACCCGCAGCAACCGGGCAACAACCCCGCCGCCTCCACCCTCATCGCCCCGCCACCTCCACCATCGTCAGCGTTGACCCCCCACCAGCCAGGCACAAGCACCAACTCCGCCGCCTCCAACAGCCACTTTCGCCGCCGCCTGTTTCTCCAGGGCAACTCGTCGGCCGTCGCCCTCCCCTGTTTCGGCGAGCTCGTCGCCCTCCCAATGTCTCCAAGAAGAAGAAGATTCCCGCTCTGACTGCTCGTCGGAATTCCCTGGCGGAGAGAAGACCCAATTCAAGTTTACAAAGCCCAAAACAATTCGTCCCCAAATCTACAATAAACACCCAGCAAAAGCATCAATCAAACAGGGGAAGGACAACAATTTCAACATTGAGGAATCTAGAAAAAAGAGATGGTAGGATTTTGGTACATGCAAGAGGGAGTTGCCTCTGTTCTCCAAGGAGAAGGCTTCTTCTGATCTCCCTTACTCTTCTCCTTCGGTTCAAACGCTGGTGAGGAAATGAGTGGTGGAGAATTTTTGCTTTTTTTTATTAATTTTTAGTTTTTTTTTATAGAAAAGATAGTTTTCCGGTTGGCCGGCTAACCGAGCCTAAAACTGAAACCGACCGGTCGGTTGGCCGGCTAACCGTGACCTCTCCACGGTCGGTGGTCGGCAGGTATAGAGGGTGGCTCGGTTTAACCGATAACCGGGTTTTCGGTTTTTGGTTAAACCGAAACCGACCGACTGCCACCCTAGTTTTCATGGTATCCGGCTTCTTCAAAGCTTTGTCGATGAAGGACTTGAGGAAAATGAATTGTTCCAAGAATGGGAAGTTCAACTCGGGTAGGCTGTGGAGGAGCGGCGACGGGCCGTAGAGAAGGGAGAGAGGGGAAATGGGATAGGGTAAGTGTTTGTGCGGACGGGTTGAGCGGGGACTAGCGGACGGGTCGATATGAATTTGTATTGATTTAAATTGGGTTGGTTGATTGAAGTTTTATGACGTGGCGGGTTTATTATGATGTGGCGGATTGGATTTTTTTTGTTTAACTTAACTGAGTAGGCATTTATGTTAGCCACGTCAGCAAAAAAAATTGACGTCGTTAACGGAGACTAAAAGAAGGTAACAGAGAGTGACTAAAGTTGAAACGTTTAACTAATGTTAGGGACCACAAATGGAATTAAATATTTTGAGTGAGCAAACATGAACGTTTTTTTTTTGTAATCTCAGTGATCAACCATGCAATTAACCCATACAAACTAGACCGACAAACATTACAAAACATACTAACAGTACAAAACAGTAAACTTGTATTACAAATCAATGAATACAAAGTATACAAATCACAACATAAAGTATACAAACTGACAAACAAACATAACAAATTACAATGTATACAAATAGTCATATAAACATTACAAACATAATAGATAAAAATGACAAACTAGAATGATAAACGATACAAACCGAGGTGATACAAAATCACAAAACATACTTACAAACATCAGAAAATCGTCCGACAAACATAACAAAACAGAGGCTGTCATCGGAAAATCTTCTCCGCTGCTGCTGGAAAATTCGTCGATGACAAAAATCATCTCTCTATGGGACAGGGTACGGTTATTACTAGGGAAAATTGGGTATGACAAAAAATTTATTAATTACCCCATTTTTAACAATTATATTTTAGAAAGTTACAAAAATATATTAATTACAATTTTCTTTCTATTTCTCTCACTTCCAAAATATCCAGCCAGATCTCTCTTCCTTCCTTTTCTCAATCTTTCCTTGTTTTTGTTCAGCCAAACTAATACCGGTGCAATAATAAAACAATACCAATCCATTAAAAAAAACACTGCGAATGCACAAAACACAAATAACATTCGTGAAATAAAAACACTATAATTTCCCAAAACACCAATACCATTGCAGATTAAATCAATATCAATACCTGCAAATTAATACCATTACATGATAATCAATACCACTGCAAAAAAAAAAAGAGAAAAAAATACCAATGGGAAAAACACGGGCACTACAAAAAAAAAGAACACTACCATTTCACAAAAAGCAACACGCTTACATGATAATCAATATCAATGCGGAAAAAACAATACCAATGCGAAAAAACACTACCACTACGAAAAGATCACCACCAATGCGGAAAAAAACAATATCAATGCGAAAAAAACACTACCACTACGAAAAAATCAATACCAATGCAAAAATAATCAGATTTAGTGTTTTTATTCATCCTACCTTTTCCATCCACGGTCGTCTCCCAGAGAGAGAGAGAGAGAGGGTGGCGGCAACAGTGGGCGATGGTAACCGGAGTTGAGGGTGGCTGCCGGTAGTGGGAGGTTGGCCGAGGGTGGTCGCCAGCGACTGAAGACAACCACCAACAGGAGAGGTGTTGACGGCGATAGAGAATGGGGTTGGAGTAGAGTTTAGGTATATAATATATAAATTAATTTTTTAAAGGATAAAAATAAGGTGTGGTATTTTTTTATTCTCAAAATTACCCTTAATATAATCTTCACCGTCAAATTAAAATTAGGATGAAATAGAGATAATGAAGGGTGTAGATTTTAGTAGCCAACGTAATTACTCAATTTTGAGTAATCACCCTAACACATTCTCTCTCTCCCACAAAAATAAACGTGCCCAGCGGGATTATTTCCAGCATAAGCAAAAGGAACAAAATAACTGGCAGGGATTATTCCCAGCACCGCCGGGAGGGAATTAACGCCGCCTAACTTTTTTCATTAATGAATAATTGAAAATTAACAGTCATACAATTACTACATTGTCCTTCATTAATTTGGATTAATCTTAGTCATTGAATTTTAATGAGGTGCAAGGGCTGAGATTCACTTAGTCATGTGACTAAGGACCCCCCTTAGTTACCAGATCTTAGCCCTCACAGTCAAAGAGAGAGAGAGAGAGAGAGGAAGTCGTAGAGAAGACAAGGAGGGAAAGAAGGAAATTTTTTTGGGTTTCTGTCCATATTGATGAGTATTTAATAGAGAGGAGGAGATGGAGACTAGGGTCGGGATCTTGCCGTCGACCGTCGAGGATGAGGAAAGCAAGGCGGCGACCATCAAGGAACATGCAAGGGGAAGCGGAGACAACGACAAGGTGGGTGGATCTGCTTACGCTGATTCCTTCCGCTGCAGCGAGCCGGCAACCTCTTTCGACAAGGAAGGAGTGAGTGAAGTCATGTGGGGGCGATTCAGGCCGAGAGGTCGACGGCGAGTGGCGATTGAGGATGGTGGTGGCTGGCGAGGAGCCGTCGGTAGAGAGTGGAGATTGGGAAAGAGTAGAGAGCAGCGATTCAGAAAGGGTAAAGAGGTGGATGGCGAGTGGCGATTGAGGATGGTGGTGGCTAGCGATTGGGATTCCCAATTTGGGAAAGGGTAGAGAGCGGCGAGAGCCGAGAGGAGAGGGAGATATTAGTGATTGGCGAGGGGAGGGATAGGGATTGGAGACTGGCGGTTATAGGCGGTGCACCAAATGGTTCTTGATTAGAAACCGTCGGTTGCCGTTTATAAAATTTGCCTCCAAAGCCAATCGACGCCGACACCGAAAGTTCCAATCGATTTTTGGTTTCGGTGAAAACCGATGGTTCGGCTTGCTTTTTCG